ATTCTACCTAATCAAGAAGGTGAGCAAGCTCTGTAATGAAAATTAAAAACATCGAAGAAGGAATTAAAGAAGACATTAGAAATGGAAAGATTTTACTCGTTCATGGGTGGACAGAATCAATATTGTTAAAATGCCCATATTTCCATAAGTGATGTACAGATTCAATGTGATCCCTATTGAAATACCGAAAACATTCTTCACAGAACTAGAAAAAACTCTCCTAAAATTCATATAGAAGTCCAAAACAACAAAAGGTATAATAGATAATGTAAAATAGGAAGAAAAGGTCCAAAGAGGAAGGGGAAGAGGAGGAGTAGGGGAAAGGAAAGAAGGGAAAGGAATAAATATGAGAAAAGGAAAACATGGAAACAAAGTCTTTGTAAATAGGAGGGGTGGAGGGGTTGAAGGGAGGGCAGGGGAATGGGAAAAAAACCCCAATATATATTATGTAAATGTACAAATTCCCAATAATGAATGTCAACATATTGTATACCTAAAATGTACCAATAAAATTAATGAATTAAAAAAAATAAGTCCATAACACACAGAAGTAAAAAGAGCAATGCTGGAAACATCATTATACCCAATTTCAAGTTATACTACAAAGCCATAGTAAAAAGAATAACATGATATTGGCACATAAACAGACACATAGACCAATGGAATGGAATAGAAAATACAAAAACAAACTCACGCACTGTCTTAATTACTTTCTTGCCACAGAGATACAATACCTGACACCCACAACCCAACAATTTCCTATCAAATTCAACTTACAGCATTCTAGGGCTGCTTCTTCAGCCAATATCTCTAAATCTTTCCAAAGTTCTCCCACAAGCCAATTCCAAAGGCTTCTGAACCACATGGTCAGGTAGCATCACAGCAGTGACCACACTTCTCTTGTACAAAAATCTGTCTTAGTTACTTTCTCACTGTGGGACACAATACCCAAGACCCACACATTAAATGAGGAAGTTTATTTTGTCTCCCAGTTTGTAAGGGTTTCAGTCCACAATAGGCTGGCTTCAAGGCAGGGCAGAAAGGTAGAGGGGCATGACAGAGGAGAAACAGTCCATGGCATGGCAGGCAGGAGAGAGAGAAACAGAGGGAGAGAGAGGAACAGAGGGAGAGAGACACATTAAAACAGAGAGAGAGAGAGAGAGAGATCAAGGGCTCCATGCCCAGTGATCCACCTCTTCCAACCAGTCATCACCTCCCAAATCACTTATCAGTGGACTAATCCACTGATGAAATCACATCTTTATGATCCAGTCACCTCCCGGAAGCCCCACCTATAAGCACGTGAGGCTTTGGGGAACATTTTTAGATATAACCTGTAATATACACCTACAGCCATCTGATTTTTGACAAAAAGGGGTGCAAACATGTTGGAGAAAATATAACCTCTTTAATAACTGGTGCTGGAAAAACTGGATACCCACATGCAAAGATTGAAACTAAATCCCTATCTCTCACCCTGTACTAAAAATTAAAATGGACCAAAGACCTATATATAAGACCAGAAATTTAGCTAGGTGTGTTGGCACACAACTGTAACCCCAGCACTTGGGAGGCTGAGGTGGGAGGATCAGCACAAGTTTGTGGTCAGCTTGGGCTACATAGTGAGTTCAAGGCCAGCCTGGACTACATAGCAAAGTCCCATCTCAAAAGAAAAAAAAAGACCAGAAACTTGAAACTCTTGAAAGAAAATATAAGGGAAACACTTGAAGACATGCACAAGCAAAGACTTCTTGAATATGACCCAAATAGCACAATAAATAATATCAAGCATTGCCACGGGCCAAGCCTGAAGATGGCCCTTTGGCTCCTCCCTACTCCCTTTCTTTTCCATAGACTAGATAGTCAAACAGCCTGTTTGACTAAGGTTATAGACCCTGGGCAGCACAGCCCCAGGAGACAAACATTATGTATCCTTCTTCCTTGTTTCCTTTCTGTTCATGCCCCAATCATGAGACAATCATGCTACGCTCAGGCTAGGCCACATAGCACTATTTACCTCACCTTATCTTCCTATTTGTCTTACATTATAAATAAAGAAGGCACTGGACTCCAGGCAGCCATTAGCTCCTGACAGGCTATGGCTCCACCTGGTCCCAGCTTTCAAGCATAATCTTGGTGTTTTCATTTTTCTTCATCTCCCACCACTCTCCCCAGCTTCAGACTGTACCCCGTGTGGGTCATGGGAAAGAATAAGCAAATGAGACTACAACAAATTAAGTATCTGCATAGCTAAGGAAACAGTCAACACAGTGAAGAAACAATCTACAGAATAGGATTAAATCTTTCCTAGTTACTCTTCTGATAAAATATTAATACCTAGAATATATAAGGAACTCAAAAGAAATTAACTCCAAAAAATCAAATGTAAGCCAATCAGAAAATGGACAAATAAACTGAATTAATTATAAATGGACAGTAAGTACATGAAAAACTATTCAACATTCTTAACCATCAGGGAAGTAGAAATCAAAATGACATTGAGATATCATCTCATCTTAGGCAGAATATCTGTCCATCAACAATACAAACAACAATGAATGCTGTCAAGGATATGGGGAAAAGGGACCCCCATACTCTGCTGAAGGGAACAATAATTAGTACAACAACTGTGAAAATCAGTATGGATGTTCCTCAAAAAACTAAAAAGAGAAAGATCATTTGATCTAGCTGTACCTGGGTATATTCTCAAAAGAATTAAAAACAGCACACTATGGTTATATATGTATACCCATGTCTATAGCAGCACAATTCAGAATAGCTAAGCTGTGGAAATAGCCTACATGCCCAGCAGCAGATGGGTATTACTCAGCCATAAAAAAGAACAAAACATGTCATTTGTTAGGTAAATGCATGGGATTGGAGATCATCAGGTTAAGCAAAACAAGCCAGTCTCCAAAAGTGAATTATTGCATGTTTTTATATGATCAATCAAAAATACATACATGCATACATACATACACACATACATACATACACAGAGATGCTAGGAAACTGGAAGGTTGACTTTCAGAGATGGGGAAAGAGATTGGGGAGGAGGGGTAAAAAGATGGGAATTGGGAATTAAAATACAATGGACCCTCAAGTTACAACTGGCCTGACATATGAACAACTTGGGTTAATAAGGTTAATGGAAGATTCATCTGCCTCTTGTATATAGCATGTACCCAGGTAAACATTCGGGTAACAGCTGTATCGACTTACAACCACCTTGAGTTACAACCAGCCCTCAGGAATCCATTGAGTTCATAAGTTAAGGGTCTACTGTGATCAAAATATGTCATATGCATGTACCAATATACCAAAGCATAAATCATTATTCTTTATTACTAATGTGCACTAATAAAAATAGAAAAGAAGAGCTAAAAGTAGACTACCATATTGTCCCACTATCCCACTTCTGGATGCCTATCCAAAAGAAATGAAATCAGCATCCCAAAGATATACATGCATATTACTGAGGCAGTATTTATAATAGCTGTGATATGGAATCAGCCAATGGGCCAATCAATAGATAAGAGAGAATAATTGGTATATATAGGTATATATATATATATACACACACACACACACACACACACACATATATACATACATACATACAGTGGAGTAATATTCAACAATAAATAAAAATTTATTTCATTTGTAGGAAAATATATGCAATAGACTTAGGCAAGCACCACATGATCTTTAATATGAAGAAACTGAGAAAAGTCTATCTGAATATAGGCGTGATTGCTACAAGTGGGAAAGGTTGTGGAGGTAGGTGGATAAAAGGCAGCTGGATTTGATCAGTACATACTCTAATCATGTTTGGAAATATAACATTGAACCCACTAATATCCACAATTAACATATATTCATCAAATATAAAATAATAAAATTTAAAATTTTATTATTAAGAAATTAATGTTTGCATGCCAAGTAATTTTTGATGAGTGAGAAACTGCCAATGTCATTTTCTTAATTGTTTTCCTGGTTGTGTTTTAGTACCTTTCTTTCTTTAATTCTTTAGCTCATTTGTTCCAAGACATCACAGTAAGTGCTATAGTTGGATGGGGAATGTTCCCCAAACTCCTGTGTGTGAAAAGCCTGGTCCCCAGAGTGGCACTACTGGGAGGTGGTGGAACCTTCAAGAAGTGGGTCCTGGAGGGAGATTTCTGGCTAGTGGGGGCTGCCCTTGAAGAGGACCATGGGGACCCAGCACCTTTTTCTTCTCTCCCATGTTACATGTTGACTATGAGGTGAGCAGCTTTGCTCCAATACATGTTCCTGCAATACTGTGCTCCCTCATAAAAGGCCCCAGAACAACAGGACCAAACAAAGATGGACCAGACTCCTAAAACTGTGAGTGAAAATAAGTTCTTTCTTTTTATAAGGTGACTAGCTCAGGAATTTGTTGTGGTGATGTGAAGCTAGAACAGTAAGTTATTAATATATCTAGTTGGTTTCCAATGAAATTGAAATCTAGAAACATTTGGCTTATGGGTATGAACCTCAACCATTCTTTCAAGAATATGATTTTAAGTATAAAATATGTTAATATAACAAATATGGCATACTCCTTCATGAGCTTTTGTCAAATAAATTTAATAATCTTTAGTACTGCCTATTATATATGTGTTGTAGATATGAAAGAGTTGGATATTTTTCCCTTTCAATAATCAGGTGACATTTAAAATCAGTTGCAAACATGCCCATGCCATTCTTGGAACACCCAGAGTGTGCTATAAAGCTATTGCCTTGTAAAAATAATTTATACTTATGTGAAAAGTCTGCTGTGTAAACAAATGTTCGTGGAACCATAATTAAAATTAACAGGAGACCTTTTAAAATATTCACCTTTGTATTAGACTTAAAGTGCATATAAAACTTCGGATGAAACTATAATCTAGAGCTGCACTGTCAAAATAGTGGCCACTAGACACAAAAGGCTACTTGAATTTAAATTTAATACAGTAAAATACAATGAAATTTTGCCTGCTTAGTTGGAGTACTCATATAGGAGATGCTTAGTAGCCACCACATTGTAGATGTAGGCCATTTCTATGAGAGCAAAGAGCTCTCCCAGAACACTCGGATCTGGAGAGACTGACCTCTTTGATACCAAAACCCATCATCGATGCTTCCTCCAGGCGACGAAGGTGTTGGGTCACAGGATGGAGGAGTATAGCCAACATCACAATGGCAATTATGGAAATTATTGCAAACCTAAAACCCAAACCAAATAAAATAAAAGCACTTTATATTCAATGCAAAGTTTAAATATATTTTTGTGAGTGTTAATGTCAATTACTAGTACATTAAAGTGGATAACATTTCTGATACAATTTAAATGTCTTATGTCAGAGAGGCATATAAATTCTACACCATAAATGGTGACAGTTAAAAATGTTTATGAACTGGGGTAGATTTAAAAAAAAGCAGAGATGAGATATCAATTGTGTATAAAATGAAAAAAGCAACAAAAACAGGGATAAAGCTTTTGCATAATCAGATACATATGTGCATATAAATAAAAACTTACATATAAAACCAGAAAATATTTTAAAATATGATTGGTGGATGAAGTGAAAGAAATGTCAATAGGAGAATTAAAAAAATTGAGAAAATGGTCATGTAAAAGTTACATAAAAATGTCAAGTATTGAAAAGGAAGAAACAGAAAAGAAGCTATACAGGACATGTATATTATTTAGGGGAAACACGTTGATGCCAGACATGCAGTCAGATAACTTTTTTTCTGATTTATATATAAAATATGAAACATCTTTATAGTAGAAGACAGCAGCCACAATGTTAAAGGCAAATTCATGATCAGAAAAAAATACAATTTATAAAATTTCTATGGCATAATAGCTAATTTCACAATGGATGGACAAGTAGAAGTGTGATAAATATAACTATACATAATTGAGAATTGCATCATTACTTATCAAATAAATGGAAATTATTGGTGAATTTAGCATATTACAAGAGATGACAGGCTGATTAACCAGTCTTGCCAGAATATGAGGAAATGTACATTTTTCAGTTATGATGGGTAGGAATAAAGACTGCCATAATACTTTTTTTGTTGTTGTTCATTAATTTTATTGGTACATTTTAGGTACGCAATATTCTGACATTCACTATTGGGAACCTTTACATAATATATCTTGGTTCTTATTTTTTTCCCATTTCCCTGCACTCTCTACAACCTCTCCACCCCTTCCTATTTACAAAGACTTTCTTTACATTTTTTCCTTTTCTCATATTTATTCCTTTCCCTTCTTTCCTTTCCCTACCTTCTCAGTTCCCCTTCCCCTTTGGACATTTTCTTCCTATTTCATATTATCTATTATATATTTTGATCCTTATTTATGCTTTCAGTTTCTCACACCAGAGAAACTATTCAATATTTACACACGTATGTCCTATTTATTTCACTTAAGAGTATGGACTCAATATGCATACATTTAGGTATAAATGTCTGTAGTTTCTCATTTTTTTTTTTTTTTGTACTGGCGATCGAACTCGGGACCTTGCCCTTACAAGGCAGGCGCCACTGAACTAAATCCCCGGCCCCTAGTTTCTCATTCTTAATGGCTGAGTAATACTCAATTTTATAAAAAATCCCACATTTTCTTTATCCAGTCTCCAGTTGATGGGCAATTAGGGTGTTTCCAAGCTTTAGCTATTACAAACTGTGCCACTATGAACATGGGTGCACATATATCACTGTGGTATGATCCTTTTAATTTTTTCAGGAAGATACCCAACAAGTGAATAGCTGGGTCAAAGGGAAACCTCTAATCCTTGTTTTTTGAGGTATCTCCATATTGATTTTAACAGTGGTCGCACCAGTCTACACTCCTACCAACAGGGAAGAAGGGTTCCTTTTTCCCAACAGCCCCGTCAGCATTTGTTATTGGTTGATTTCTTCTTGATAGTAGCTATTCTTTCTGGAGTGAGGTGGAATCTCAGTGCTGTTTTCATTTGCATCTCTTGAATGACCAGTGGTGTTGAACATTTTTTCATGTTTATTTGTTATTTCTACTTCTTTGTCTGAGAAATGACTGTTCATTTCAGATGCCCATGTTTGGATTGGGTCTTTAAATTTGGGAGGTCTGATTTTTTTAAAGTTCTTTATATATTCTAGATAGTAGACCTTTGAGGAGCAGCTGGTAAAAATATTTTCCCACATTGTGGGTTGTCCCTTCACACTCTTGGTGGATTCTCTTGCTGTGCAGAAGCTTTTTAATAAGAAGAGTTCATATCTGTTGACTTTTTGTGCTAGTTCACTTGTGACTGTGGTTTTGTTCATGAAATCTGTTCCTACACCAATGTCTTCAAGAGATTTAACTAACCTCTCTTCCAGCTGATTTAGTATTGCTATTCTAAAATTTAGATCTTTAATCCATTTCAATTTTAGTTTAGTGCATAGTGAAAGATATAGGTCTAGTTTTAATCTTTGGCAAATTGAAACTCAATTTGTCCAGCATCATTTACTAAAGAGGCTATCTTTTTGCCAGTGAGGGTGTTTGGCACCTTTGTGGAACATGAGGTGGCTGAGTGTGTCTGGAGTTGTATCTGCATCTTCTAATCTATTCCACTGGTTCTCAGGTCTGTTTTTTTTGGCAGCACCATGGTGTTTTTATCGTAGTGCCTTTGTACTATTGTTTCAGGTTGGGGATTGTGATTCCCCCTGTCATGACTTTGTTGCCTAGAACTGCTTTTGCAATTCTAGGTCTCTTCTGGTTCCAAATGAATTTTTGGATTGTTTTCTCTAGTTCTTTGAAATATACTGTTGGGATTTAAATCGGTATTACATTGAATCTATATAATAATTTTGGAAGTATGGCCATTTTCACTATATTGGTTCTTCCTACACAGAAACAGGGGATGTCTTTCCATTTTCTTATATCCTCTTCACTCTTTTTTCAGAATACTGTAGTTTTCAAAATAGAGGTCTTTCACTTTCTTTGTTAGATTAATTCCTAGATGTTTCATTCTTTTGGATGCTATTGTGAAAAGAATTGCTTCTCGAGAGGCCTAATCACCCCGCTGCAGACAGGCAGGTCTGCCCATGCCCTATCTAGGTCCTGAGCCGCACAGAACACTCCGAATCACCCCGCTGCAGACAGGCAGGTCTGCCCATGCCCTACCGAGGTCCTGAGTCGCACAGAACATGCCGAATCAACCCGCTGCAGACAGGCAGGTCTGTGCACGCCCTACTGAGGTCCTGAGTCACGCGGAAGACACCGAATCACCCCGCGGGAGACAGGCAGCCACCTGATTACACATTACAAAGACGCAGAGGACACCAGACCACCAGACCAAGGTACTGAGTCCCACTGTTCCCAGCCCAGAGGTAGGGGCTTCTGAGCCATCCTCCCACTGCTCCTGGTCCAGAGGAAGGGGCTTCCTGGTCACCATCCCTCCCGCGGCACCCAGCCCAGAGGAAAGGGCTTTTGGGCCACCTTCTGTCCCGCTGCTCCTGGCCCAGA